GGTATGTGGTAACCTGTGGATGAGTGAAGGTGGACTCTATGAAAGTTAAAGCAATGCTAAATTGGAACAATCTAGAAACCCAACCAAAACTAAAAGTTTCATAGGATTGATTAGTTACTAAATAAGGTTCATCCAAGATTTCTCCAAGAATACTTCGCTATCGACGGATTTGATGAGGAAGAATGTCAAGTTCTTGTGGACTGAAACCCAAGAGAAAGCATTCAAGACCTTACAGAAAAAGTTGTGCAAAACATTGATCTTATCCTTGCCCAAAGAATGTGAAGACTTTGTAGTTTATAGTGATGCCTCTAAGATGGTATGTGTTGTTTTGATGAGACGCATACGAGTGTTCATCTAAACCGTCAAACCACTCACATTGCACCGCAATGCGCGGTTTAGAACTTCCACGTTGCAGTTTGCAAATTTATCAAACTGCACTGCAAAGTGCGGTTTTCGGTTTCAAATCACCAAATTATGGTTCAAAAGCAACGTGACACACACACACACACACATATATATATATATATATATGAACGATCAATCGAGAACAATACCTATTTAAAAAAACACGAAAACGGGTAAACCGCATGTGATTTTACACTAACATCACATACAAAATCACATGTGATTCATGCGACCTTGCCTGGTGACCTGAAAACACAGCCACAAGTCATCCAAACACTTTTTGACCATTAATGTAAAATTACATGAGATTTTGCACGTGATATGTCCATTTTCGTGTTCTTTAAATAGGTATCGTTATTGTTTGATCATGCCCCCCCCCTCTCTCTACATATATATATATATATATATATATATATATATTTAAATAAATATTATATATACATAATCATTTATCAAATGAAATTAGTTAATACATTATTGATTACTTATTAATTTTCATTTTTTCTTTTAATTACTACGTTATAAATTCCTTATTTGAGCTATTTTCTTTTGTCTTTTGTCAAACATCATAGTCGAAGTTATTTTGAAGTTAACTTTTTAAATGTATTTGAATTACTTACCAAACTTTTTAGTTAGTACTATACTATTTTTAATTACAAATTTTGTATGGATTTGAACATTTTATTGGATGGAATACAGAAACATCATCGTCCGATCTATTTTGAAGTTGTAATTTTATGATTTTGCAATTAGTGTATTAGGTACAAACTGCATAAACAACACCGTGTTTTACATTGCTTATTTTGTGATTTGAGGCATATGCGATGCAGTTTGTGATTCGGGAAAATCTCCAAACTGCATATGCGGCGAAATTTGTGATTTGGCCCTAAACCGCACTGTAAACACCCCTAGCAACAGGGAAAAGTGATCACTAATGTATCGAGACAAGTCAAGTAACACGTGAAGGACTATCTAACCCATGACTAAAGTTATTTGTGATGGTGTTTGTCTTTGTTGGTCCCGTTAGGGTCTATAAGATGTACATAACAGTTTGTAGAAGAGGGGGAGGATGAATACAAACATAGTAAACTTTTCAAATTTAAAATATATATTGATATAGAAGGATCAATATAGATTTTACAAGATTGTTTGCGGAAAGATAAGGTAAATAAAACCTATCTAAACAATCTAAAGTTACACACTAGTTCTTAGCAAATAAAGAAAAGATTTCTTGTAAAAGACTTAGAAGAAAGTAAGTTCTTTCTGGGTAAGAACTATTTTAAAATACAATGAATGGATTCTAACTTGCTCTTGAAGATGAGCGTTTTGTGTTCTTAGATGTGCGTTCTTTTACTTATGAATGTGAGTTAGGGTTCAAGAGTAAATATTAGTCAAGAGTATCTCTTCATGGAGATAGAACACATCTATTTATACCATTGCATTAAATGCACATTTAATGCAACGTGATAGGGTTAGAACACATGTCAAGTCTTTAGAGAAGGACTTGTCCTTTGCTACAGTGAATAGTACAAAAGCCTATTCATGAACAAACATCCTTTCACAAAGTTGGTGGGTAGTAGAGTCAACTAATCGGCTCCATACCATACTAAAGGGTATGGGTTTGTCCTTTGTGTGTATAAGGACAAAACAAAAACAATCGTGCTTAACAAGCTTCTTTTGATAGTTGAATGCTGGAACAACCTGAAGGTCTCTTCAGCATTCGCTGAGGCATGGGCAGTCTTCACACATATGTAGACCAGGTTGTAATCACTGAATACCGCTTCAGATCACGTACTCACCAGTCTCTAATCTTCAGTTTCAGTCTTCGACTTTCGTTGAAGGTTCTTTGGTGTAAGTTTTGTCTTCTTGAAGTATCGATGTTGTTGATGGATTTACATTACAAGTTCTTCAGTGATCACTAAACAGACTCAATGATGATCGCTAGAACTGAAAGAAAGACAGAAACATAAATACTTCGTATAAGGTAAAAGGGATTATCATCAAATCACTGAGAGAGAGGATCAACAGTCTTGAAGTTGTGGCACCATTATTTATATGACACAAACTGTAAGCTCTTTACCAACCACAAGAGTTTGAAGTATGTCTTTGATCAAAAGGAGTTTAATATACGTCAATGGCTGTGGTTGGAATTACTCAAAGACCAAGATTGTGTATTAATTACCTTACCACCCAGGTAAAACTAATGTAGTGGTCTACGTTTTGAGTCAAAAAGAGTATAGTGGCAGTGTTCGAGCTACACTCTTGAGAATCGATGTGGTTTCGAGCCTAATCGAGAAAACCTAAGGGTCACAAGTAGAAGCATTGTTAAAAGCAAACCTTTAAAAGCAAACCTCATGAGTGAAGTTAGATTAAGCAACACCTAATTCTAATGGAAGAAAGTCGAGACTTGAAGATAATCTGAAGGCATATTTGGCTACCTAAGATTGGGAGCAACCGGAGTTGTTGTTGGAAGATGCTCATAAGTTCCAACTACTTTATTCATCTTATGAACATAAAGATGTACCGAGACCTAAAACTGAATTATTAGTGACCTATCGTGAAGTTTGACGTGGCTAACTATACAGAGAGGTATGTGACTTGTTTACAAGTCAAGGCAGAGCATCAAAAATCATACGTGAGTATTCAATCCATTATTCTCAGAGTTAGCAGCGATGGTGTTTACCACTGACACAAAGTGTACACTCTTTACCGACCTCAAGAGTTTGAAGTAAGTTTTTTTTTTATCAAGAGGAGTTCAATATGCGTCAACAATGGTGGTTGGAATTACTCAAAGATTACGATTGTGAATTACATTACCATTCGAGTAAACTAACGTATTGGTAGACGCTTTGAGTCGAAAAGAGTATAATGGTAGTCTTGAAGCTATACTCTCGAGAATCGGCATGGTTTCGAACCTAATCAAAAAAATCAAAGGGTCACAAGTCAAAACATTGTTAGAAGCAAACCTCATGAGTGAAGTCATGAACGGGAAGACCTAGGATGTAGAAGATCATAACATGAGTGATTCGGCAGAGGCGGTGTGTACAAGGCCTAGGAACGGATTCACCGCCGTATGGCTGATCGGCGATTACTAGCTTTTCCGGCTTCATGCAGGCGAGTTGCAGCCTGCAATCCGAACTGAGGACGGGTTTTTGGAGTTAGCTCATAAGCAACAACTAATTCTGACGAAAGATAGTCGAGACTTGAAGATATTCTGAAGGCATATCTATGTACCTGAGATTAGGGGTAATTCAGACTTGTTCTTTGAAGATGCCCATAAGTTCAAATACTCCATTCATCCCAGAAACACAAATATGTACCGAGACCTAAAACCAAATTATTTGTGGTCCACCATGAACATTGATGTGGCTAACTATATGAAGAGGCATGTGACTTGCTTACAAGCAAGATGGAATCAAAGATCATACATGAATATTCAATCCGTTATTCTTTTTCAATACTATTTTTCGTAGTTACTACTTGTTTCACAATCCATAACTTTATAAAAAGATAGAATATTCAATATCAATTATTTACTAAATACTATAAAAAAAACTATGTTTACTTCCAAGGTCATCATGTAGAAGCAATGTAGAAAGAAATCAATAAAACACAATGCAATTCTCAAAACCATGAATATATATGACTAATTTATAAAATTATGGGCCGTTTACCAAATGTTTACCCGGATAAGTGCTTACCAAGTGACATTAAAACAGTAAGAAAGATTCAAGATAAAGACTAGAAAAAGGGGCTCCAAGTATCCATAAATGAAATCGGCTTGAGCGAATTACTTACCCAAAAGGGGGCGCCGGTTAAAAAACAAATTTTTTTGTCACGATCCATTTGGTTCATATAGAATTCATGTCCTAGGTGTATCAATAATGAATATAGTAAGGACCAAAAATCTTACCCGGTAAATGTGAGACAAGGGCTGACACTCATACCCAATAAGCGAAGACGACGACTCCTACCACGATTAGCGCTTATCGGGTAAATTGTTGCATATAATGTTGTTTTGGTGGATTAAAATCTTAACCAGTAAGTAATTGATAATGTTGAATTTTACTCATAAGCATTCACCAGGTAAGTGTTTGGTAAACGACCCTATATTATGAATAAGTTATTGTTAAATTCAACTTAGAGGCTGTTTACCTAAATACTTATCCGGTAAGTGCTTACCGATAGAAGTCAACGCTATAATTTATTTTGATGCGTAAGATTTTAGTACATCAAAAAGTATCGAATGCAACAATTTACAGGGTAAACGCTTACTTGAGTAAGAGTCGTCATCTTCACTTACTGGGTGATACTCTCTGTCCTTCTAATCGCTCTTACCCGGTAAAATTCTTGACATTTATCATGTTCATCCGATGAAAAAATTTATCGAGTAAACGTTTACCAAGTAAGCATCTTGTAAACAACCCCTTAATTAAAGTTTGTTATCAAATTATTATGTTAATATTAAAATATTTTTAGGGAATTTTTTTTTAAAATTATGAAAATGGTAAATATTTTGTCATCGTTTTTAATCAAGTGTTTTTTCCTGTCGGAGCTTAAATTTCATGTAATAGACACTCAGCAACTCCAAGTAAGAACGATTCGGAATTTCTGCAACGCTTTTAGGTTTCAACCTGCCGGAAAATTTGTTCATCGTCGGCTTTCTCATTCACTCCGATCTCTTCGATTCCGCCACATCTGATCGATTACTCCAAGTTTCATCGAACAGAGAGGGATACAAATCGAGGTGGAGTGGCAGTAGCCCAGAGTACTTGCAGAATAAGGTTAAAATGTCGGTTCAAGAGTATCTGGACAAGCACATGCTCTCGCGGAAAATTGAAGACGCTGTCAATGCGGCAGTTAGGGCCAAAACTCCCGATCCCGTTCTCTTCATCGTGAGTTCTGGTTCCCTCCCCTCCCCCCCCTTTTTTTTCATTTTTTGTGCGTATAGTGTGATGTTTTAATTGAATGTATTTTATTTCATAATGATGTTGCCTGTGATCATAATAATTGATTTCTTACCTTAAATCACACGTTAAATTACGATTCCAAACGAGGAAGTTATGAGAATGAGTGCAAGTCTTAGTAGTAATCAATATGCATTTGCTTGTTTATCTGTAGTCTAATCATATGCGAAAGGCAGTTCCTTCGGTTATAACAAAGGTTAGAGCGAGGCAAATCCTTGATAGCAGAGGAATTCCCACCGTTGAAGTTGACTTGTACACCAATAAAGGAATGTTCCGAGCTTCTGCTCCAAGCGGTGCTCCCTCTGGACTGTAAGTTTTTATTTTTCCATCTTTTTGTTTATTGGACCTAAGTTTCTGTTGATGAAAAACAGATTAAGGTAATATGAACTTTTCCTTTCTTTTTGATGAAATTTGTTACTGATGTTTAGTTCTGAGTGGTTTCATTGACTTTGCATGTTGTCTTACAGTAGATCAAAATCATGAGACCCTATGTTGCTAAAATTATAATAGTTCCCAAGTGTTCATGGACTATAAATATAGTTATAACATTTAGTTCTCAACCTGCATTGTTTCTATTCTTTACTCCACTCCTGTATGTTGGTTTCATTCTTTGACTTTATTTTTCCAATGTATTGTGGCTGTTATATATTTTTTTTCAGTACCACTTCTTTAATATTCGTAGTGCTTGTACTTTCTGATGTAGCTTTTTATTTTTCTAAAAAAATTTAGATGTCCATATTGTTGAGAATTTGGTTACAAACTTAGTATATGAATATCACACTCAAAACTAGGGTCGGGGGGTGGGAAGTGTGAGCGAATAGGTTTTGATCGTTTGGACAAAAAGAAGTGTTCCCCTACCCCAAAGATTAGAGTGATTGTTTCAGTGAAAACCTTGGCTTGTGAAAAAGTGTAAGTGAATAGATTTAAACAAAAAACAATGATTTTTTAAAAGAACTTAGTAACGATTTCTTAAAAGGAATATTCTATAGCAGTGGTCTAGATGAGTATAGAGCATTGACATACCAGATTCTACGATACAGAGCATTGGCATACCGGATTCCATAGAGCATTCGTGAGCGTTGATAGCAGGTTCAGGTATAACCTAACTTAAGAAGAAATGGATGTGGTATACTGGAATAATGGAATCTAAAAGGACTATTATTTGGAAGATTAGAAAAAATGAAACAAGAAGATCTAGTCAATTCACACTAGTGTGTCTTCTTTCTTCAGGCCGAGCATTAACTTCCTCAAAGGACCAAGTATATTTCATCATCTCCAAGTTCTTTGAGAAACCGTTATGTGAGATTGACATCCACAATCTAAGTATGATAGCTAATAAAGAAGGGATTGCAATGCTATTTATAAGCATGATTTAAACGGAGCGAGCAAGGGTGGCTAGACCAAGGAACTTGGGAAAAACCTGGGACATGGGCAACATTGAAGACTTTTAGAGAGAGAGTCGACCTGGACATAGGAAACTGGATGAGTGTTGTGTGCCATTAGAGTTGTGACTAAGAAAACGCCGGGAGTTTCGTCAGAGAGAGCTAGGGACCACAAGGAATTTTGGTGGTGGAACGAAGATATACAAGCGATGGTTAAAGTAAAAAAAACATGTTTTAAGGAGATGACGACGTGTCAAGAGGACAAGGAAAGGAGCAGGTTGAGGGATTTTGTACAAGGAAACAAGATGCAAGGGAAAAGGCGGTGGCAAGGGCATTGGAAAATGCATATGGGGAAATGTGCAAGAGGTTAGATACGAGAGAGGTACATTGGAATATACAAGCTGGCAAAAGCTAGAGTAGAGAAATTAGGACTTGGGGAACCATATAGTATATGAAGGATGAGAACGATTGGGTATTTAGTAAGGGACGAGGATATCAAGGAAGATGGGCAATAAAAGTGAACATTGGGAATCAAGTGATAACTCAAAAAGACAACTTTAAGTTTCTAGGCTCTATTATTCAAAAAGAGGGAGAAGTCGAGGAGACGTGACACATTGCATACAGACCGGGTGATTGAAGTGGAGAGTTGCAATGGGAGTGTTTGTGATAAGAAAGTCCTTTATTGAAAAATGTCAAGAATTGTATGGGTCAGAGTGTTGAGCATGAGAAGGTGCACAAGTGGAAGTTAGAAGTTGCACATATGAGATGTTCATGTAGACCTGTGGTTGGAACAATGTTGGATAGGATACCAAATGAGACCTTCCAGGCGGAGTTGGGAGTTGTGCCCATCATGGATAAACTAAGAGAGGGAAGGTTACGTTGGCTTAGGCATTTACGCAAGAGGCAAGTTACAGTACCAATGAGGGTAGAGAGTATGATGGTTGAGTGGGTGAGGAAGGGGAGGCTAAGCAGGACGTGGGATGCACAATTTGAGGATGGACATGGCAGGCTTAGACATTTTTAAGGATATGACCTTGGATAGGAGCTCTTGGAGATGCATGACTAGGGAGCAAACTATGGGTAAGGATTTGTAGCATGGACGGGGGAGGGAGATTGGAGTAGTTGGATGGTGTGATAGGGAGAGGGGTAGCATGGTTGTAGTTAGGTTACTGGGGACTTACTAGATGGTTGGCTTACTTATTTCTACCTTACATGTATGCTTTTGTTTCTACTTGTGAGAATGTTTGTATTACATTGGTCTTAGATTTTTTGAGTCCGTTTGTGGTTTTTTATTATTTTGGTTTTTGGTTGCACTTTGTTTTTGTCCTACACGAATATTACGGTTATATCACTTGTAGGTACACTATATCTCATTTAATATTTCCCTAATGGGCAGCAAACATTTTACTAGCAGAAATTTGTCTGCAATGTTTTCTTGCCTAAGTTAGGCCTTAGTACTTGATGCACTTGTGTGCCTTTACGGAGGAGTATGTTTGCTTGTGTGTATGATAGGTAATAGTCTGTTTATAAGGAAATGAAGCCAAGAAAGAACAGCTTCTCAAGGACTTATACAAGATTCTTGTAAAATATACCTTCACTGTTGGTGCTCCATATTTTGGAATTTGAAGTCTCTAAGTGGTTGGCTGAAATCTCTCCCTTCTAAATAGTATTTGCAAGCAAGCTGACTTCATGCAAGCTTCAGAGGTGTTTTTGCTTAAGGAGCTTCTTAAATTTTTTTATTGGATAATGGATTTGTGTGCTAGGGGCAGCAGTTTCATTTAGACCATAGCTACTGAAATACATTTTACTTGGCTCTACATCATGCTGTTCTAATACATGTTAGGAATTTGCTTGTGAGTCGTCTATATCAAAAAGTGGGATGATGATGTTCTGATACATGTTAGGAATTTGCTTATGAATCTTCTATATCAAAATGTGGGATGATGATACCCGACTTATTTTTCTTCAGGTTATGTTCTCTGTTTCCGATAGAAATAGTTACAACTTTTTCCCTACTTTTCTGGGTAGATCCATGTTGCTGGTTATGTAAGAAACATGACCTTTTGTCATTCTTACATGTCACAGCTATGAGGCTATTGAGTTACGTGATGGAGACAAGGGCACATATCTTGGCAATGGTGTCAGCAGAGCTGTTAGAAATATCAATGAGAAGATATCTGAAGCTATAGTTGGCATGGATCCAACCCTTCAGAACCAGATTGATCAGGCAATGATAGACTTGGACAAGACTGAAAAAAAGGTAGTCTCTTCAGCTAGGTGGTGATCAATGTGATACCTTCATTGTTTAATTAGATGGTTTGCATAATAGTTTCATGTTTAAAGTGTCTGCAGAGTCATTAGTGCCGTAGTTTCTCATTATTCATGACAATTGATGATACTCTGCAACTGTTTTGTATTTTACGTGATAGAATATATGATAGTGCACACTGATAAATGCAGCATTCAGGGGATGAAACCACACGCATAGTGACGGTGACAGATTGTAAGGGTTAAGCATCTTTCGTATTATGCATGCAGCTATTTTTTAAGGTTTGATGTTCTATAAGTAAAATATATAGAACTTGCTCTTCCTGGAATGAAAATGTTGCTTTCTGTAACTCCACTATGTTTACATTACCTTACTTAGAAAAATCTGTTTATTCTTGGTTACTAGAAGTTCTGTTGCATTATTCTTATAGCAAAAAGTATGGAATTGCATGGAAGTTCTATGTTCAATCTCCATAGTGATCCAAAAGTACAAAAAAGTCTAATTAAATCAGCTGTTATGATTAATTGGTAGGTTCTTCCATGCAGTCACTGTGATGTCTTAGAATGGTATATGAATCTTTTGTGAAATGATGGCCTATTTGGTTATGACATCTGTGTTGTATTGGTTATACAAATTTGTTTCTGGCTTTTGAAGTTATAAAATATAATTTTTGTTGGCATTGTCTTTATGTCATATCATTATCCAGGGTGAACTTGGGGGGAATGCAATATTAGCTGTGTCAATTGCTGCTTGCAAAGCTGGAGCTGCTGAGAAGGAGGCATGCACAATTTAATAGTTTTATTTGATATTCAACTAAAATAATGTTCTATATAGAACTGAATAACTTCTATAGCAAGATAAGCTCAATCTCTTTTTGCTTTCTTAAAAATAAGATTGAAGTTATATGCAAAATGTTCTTGCAGGTTCCACTTTACAAACATATTGCTGATCTTTCTGGCAGAGGAAACCATGTTCTTCCTGTTCCTGCCTTCACACTAATAAGTGGCGGAAAACATGCTGGGAACAATTTGGCTATAAGAGTAAGGGGTTGTTTACCAAATTTTCTATTAAGTTCTGTGTGGGTAAAATGTCTGTCTGGAGATGAGGGAAGGAGAAACTGATGAGGAAAGGAAATGAGGGAGATCGTACCATGTTCTTGTTTTTGAGGGAAGAAACGCATGTTACCAGATCAAGGGCAAGGGGTGTAAAATGGCACGGCTTAATGGGGACAACACCCCCTTTAAAGCTGTGCGAATAAGTGATAGGCTTATTCGTTAAGCCATAAAGAAACACTTCATTGTAGCTGAACGAATGAGCTCAATCAGCCATTAAGCCCATTAAGTCAAAAATAGACATCCCCTAAGCTGGTGTTTAGTTCCGCATAATCAATTTAATCAGTGGATTATGTTTCTTTGGAGCTATTTCATCATTTCTCACTTGTAAAATTGTTATCATCCTGTTTCTGTTTTTCTTATCCCTTTATAGGTACATAAATCTCCTGGTCCCACAGTTAACATCAATTTCTACTGGTTGAACAACCTAAAATTTTCTATTAAGTTCAGAAAGTTATTTGTTGCGTTGATTTCTTATAAAAATGTAATCAAATTATATCAGGACATAATGATTCTTCCTATTGGAGCAAGAAGATTTGAAGAGGCGATGCAAATGGGCTCTGAGACGTATCATCACTTGAAGGTGACTCCCTCTTATCAACTTCATCCCTGTGATTTAATTGGATGTATATCATTCATATGTGTGGCCAATGGCAAGGCTCTATTAGCTCAAGCATACTCATTGCCCAGTGCTTGCGTAATCAGTATGCAAGGTTATGTTCTGAGATTGTGCAACTTACTAATTTTATCAAACCTAATGCTGATTGCTTGCTGTGCACTTCTTGCATAAAGTTCTTGTTTTAGTGGGTAATTTTAGTGAAGAAATTGGGAGCATGTAGCAGGAAATTCTAATTGAAGTGTAAGCACTAGAAGATAACATGCAAAGATAGCACCTGTGAACTTATTATGAGCCTTATTTCTGTTGGGGGAGGGATATGCACCGGGGTGTTCTGAGAAAGTAAAAACAGATTGAAGTTGAAGTGTACATTTTATAGGAGGATATTCAGGATGTGTAACTATTATAGGTCAGAATGTGATGCCATTGAGAAGCAACAATGTGCATATGATATGATTGATGTAGATGTTTTGCGGATGTTAAATTTGATGCATGTTCACCTGATGTTAGATAAAAGATATATACACATCAGGAAGGGAAGTTCACGGTTTTGAGGTAATATCATTTGACAAGGCCTTGTCATGCACAATAATGGCCTTTAGATGCCTGGTGAATGGTGGGGGAATTGACTCCAACAGAAGAAGAGCTCCCAGGCAGATAGGCAGGGTTAGGACAAAATTAACCTCGGTTAGCAAAAAGTAAACTTCGATCAATGGAAATACTAAATGCATAAATTTATCATAAAGCTCCAATGGGTTAAGCCTGTATTGTCTACTTGCTATTCATTCTATATGCTCTTCTCCTATGCAGGCTGTTATTACGGAAAATTATGGTGCACATGGATGTAATGTCGGTGAAGATGGCGGTTTTGCTCCTAACATCTCCAGGCATGTCTTTCGTCAATATGGGGTGATCTTCTGGAAGTCTCGTTTGTGATGTTGGTTCTCTGCTTTTGCAGCTTTAGAGAAGGACTAGATCTTGTAAAGGAGGCAGTTGGCAGAACAGGTTATAATGATAAAATTAAGATTGCAATTGATGTTGCTGCTACCGATTTCTGCATAGGTAATGTTTATCATTCCTCTGAATACTCTCAACATGGATATCGGACCGCTTTAACAAGTTGAAAACCTCTTATAGTGCCTTGTGTAGAATATTTTTTGTGTATAATAGGCCACACCGGACATTATACATCTCTAAATACTTTTCTTAGTGGAGATTGGATTTATTACTTCCCTGCAATCTGCTTATGTCATTTGTTAGTTGACTGACATGCAATTCTAACTAGACCTTTTCAGTTAGTTGCTGTCCATGCATGATTATTGTTGCCTGCAAAAACTTGACATTTATATTTTTTGTATTAGGTACAAAGTATGATTTAGATTACAAATCTCCTAGTAGGTCAGGTCAAAACTTCAAGTCAGGAGAAGATATGGTTGAGATGTACAAAGAACTATGTAGAGGTATATGACTATGTTTGCAAGATAGGTTTGTTACTTCATTTGAATACTTCATGCAAGCATATATGTTTAAACAACCATGCTACCGCCTTTCTAATTGTTGCTGAACTTGCTGGATTTTAGACTATCCTATTGTGTCTATCGAAGATCCATTTGACATGGAGGACTGGGAACAAGTCAAGCATTTTTCAGGGCTTGGAATTTGCCAGGTTTGTTCTCGAATCCTTGTTATGTTGGTTCTTTGTTGTTGGTCGGTGCCAATCATGCTTGCCTCTGCCTTATGTAAGAACAAAACAAACCAAACCAAACCAAACTAAACGAGCCCAATATATCCCACCTGGTGTTGGGGTCTGGGCGTAGGATGTAAGCACTTGACTTCTACCTCGAGGAGTAGAACGACTGTTTCTGTAAAGGCCTCCTTGTGAAAAGTGTGCGAAATAAATAAAAGTTTGCCTAAGAAAAATGAGGAAATAGAAGAAGGAGAAGGTTCGAAAAGGAACTTGAAACAAGAAAATCAAGTTAGAAGTAAGCAATTATGCCTTATGTAAGACACTAATAAGAGTTAGATTTAGATGGATGGGAAACATTTTTAACAGGATATCCATGTATTTATGTATATAGTCACGCTTTGCTTGAGGAGAAAGGCCACACACATTCGACCCTATAGAGACCCAAAATTTTGGAGCTTGGGTAGTAGTGCTTACTATTTGTAGTCAAATTAGGCTTCTTCCTTCTTGTATTAATTGGTTATTGAGGAGAGAACAAGTACATGGTACATTAGATGAAGCCATGTGCTACGTGTCAGCCACAGTTTGTTTTACATATTCTAGAAGAGGAAAGAGGGGAAAGTTGGGGAATACATATCTCGGTTGTTAAGTCGTTAGTAGGGGTAAAAGAGGGAAACTTTGGTGTCAGGAGTCTGTTAGGATCGGGAATAAATTGGTGAAGAGAGGATAGAGAAGGTATCTAGAAAAAAGAGTGAAAACAATCGATGGGAGAGACTAGCCTCTCGAATTGCTAGGAAATTTTCCTTTCTACTTTAAATTTCTTTCATCATTCCTCCGTCTTCATTCCATATATGTTCATATTTCCTTAGAAATACGTTGAAGGTCTTCTGTTTAGTTCTTATTGGTATTACTAATTCCTGTTAGATACAGTAAATTTAAGACTTTGTTTTCTTAGTATGCTTTCCTTAATCAGGTTGTTTGGCTGTATATATGTTGTATAAAGTTACCTACTAGTTGATTGAGAAATACATCGCTTTGTTTGAGTGATTACATGGTACCTGAGCCTTGCCTTAAACCTAGCCGACATTGCCAGAATCCCGGCGAAAACCTAGCCGCCATCACCAGAATCCCGCCGAAAACCTAGCCGTCATTGTCGGAACCCTAATGAAATTCCAGCTGCCGCTACCGGAACCTCCTGCCGCCATCGCCTGACCTCATGTCGTTGTCGCCTGACTTCCTGCGTCTTAGCTTGACCACCTGGCACCGTTGCCGAAAGCTTCTGGAACCTGCCAGAATCTTCTAGAACCTGTCAACACTCCAGAACACGTCGGAACTTGCCGAAACATGTCTGAACCTGATGGAACACGACAAAACCTAGTGGAACACCTCAAGATCTGCCGGTTTACGCCTAAATCTGCCTGAAACTTGCCGTTGTTGCTAGCGGAACTGCTGCTTGAACTACCAACTCAAATCCAACCCCTTTTTTAACCACAAGGGCGGTGCGTGATTGGTTTGAACTTGGCTCTAAAGGTCAAAAGTACTTGGAGGTCCCAGGTTCAAATCCAAGGAGGAATAAAAATCCCTTTGTGGCCACGGAGGTTCAAATGCGGTGACTCCGGGCTATCTGCAAAGCAGGTGGTTGCCCTGGGATTAGTCGGCTCGCATAGCGGGTTGGATTTCCAGGTTCATCAAAAAAAAATCCATCCCTTTTTTGGCTTTATCTGACCAAGATCCAACCTTATGAATTTACAACTTAACAACGGGAGACAAAGTTCCATTGCAACAATCGGTGTCCAATGAATTCATAGTTTCGGGTCATCCTCGAGGCCAAGTTCGATCTACTTTTTGTACCGGTACAACATTATCAAGTATCACATCTACTTGTTTTTCTGCATGCTCATCATCTTGGATTATTGATTTCGGAACCACAGATCACATGACCGGGAACAAAGGCCTTTTATCCGATCTTGAGACTAATATACCCCATAATCCAGTTAGGTCTAATAATCTGCGTGTCAAGTTATGGGCATTGGATCCACTAGCAACCTGTCAAACCGAGACTTATCGTCTGTTCTTTGCATTCATACTTTCGCTGAAAGTCTAATTTTTGTTAGCCAAATTACTGGAAAATGAGAACTTGATTGTTCTGTAAACTTTTTTTTCCCACACATTGTGTGTTTCAGGAATTGGAAACGAATCAGTTGATTGGCACAGGCTTTGAATCTCAAGGTCTTTATCACTTGTCAATGTTGCAGTATCTAGCTACACATCGTTGTGAATCCAATTCTGAAACAATTAAGACCTGATCTTATCTTTCATTTGTTCATGAGTTAACATGTCAGTCATGTCAGTTGGGTAAACACACCCATCGTTTCTATCCCCCTAGCAAGTCTAGTCAAGTTAACACCTTGTTTGAATTCATTCACTCGGATGTATAGGAACCTTGTGCTATTCCTTTTACAAATGATTTTAAATATTTCATTAAGTTTGTCGAAGAATTTTCTTGTGCAACACGGGGTTACCTACTTAAATCTCGTAATGAAATATTTTCTATTTTCCTGAATTTATGCCTATATCAGAACCAAGTTTGATGTTTTCATTAAAACGCTGTAATCTGATAATGCAGAATAATTATTCTCTCACGATTTTACAAGTTACGTGTCTGAGCATGGGTATTATACATGAATCTTCATGTGCACATACACCTAGCAAATGACATTGTTGAACAAAAGAACCGTGTACTAGATGTGGCTCGCACTATGATGATTCACTATAACGTACCACAATTTTTGGGTTAAAGGTAAGATATCGACCTTTGATGGGGGGCTCTCACATCCGACTCTGAGGTTGACTCAGATCTTGTTTTCGGGGATGAGTATGGGTGATCCGATCGTCAATCTTCCAAAGTAAACCATACTTTAGGAGAGCAGAGTTGGCGTCCTTCTGGGCACGCCAATCTCATTTGTCACTTCTCTTGATTTCCCACCCACCTACCTATCATCTATCAGCGATGCGGTTCTTACAACTAATTATCTGATTAACCGTTTGCCATATTCTGCCCTTAGGGAAGACACCTTTTTCCATTCTGTTTACCAAAGGCTCTTTTTTTCCCTTGACTTATAAAATATTTGGATGTGTATCTTATGTCCATGATCCGTCCGAGATATAGTAAACTTGTAGCATATGCTATCAAGTATGTTCCTTGGACATTCATGTGTTCGAAAAGGCTATTGTTGTTATAGTCTAACCCTTCATAGATATTTCACCTATGTTGTCACCTTTAATGAGTCGAATCCCTTATTTGTCAAACCTACTAGTAGTGCACCAGAATCAACAAATCCTCTTCCCGACCCTTTTGAATCTTCTGATACTCCGGTCTTACGCCTCCTTGTACTAGCATCAAATCCCACTATTCAGGCAACTTCGACTGATACTAGGTCCATTAAGGTGTATGTTCAACAGCACTAAAGAAAAGTGCATGGGACCCAAGAGTCCTTACATTTGCATCATGATAAAAATGAATCTCCCATCCCACCACCTGAACGCACATATCATCACCTACTGATGTAGTCCTTGATTTGGTACTGATACACCTCTACCACCACATACCGAGACTTATGACCCCACCCGCCTTGATATTCTAATGGCCTTCCGAAAAGGCACAATGACTCGTACCTGATATCCCATTTAGAATTATCTTGCTTATTATCACCTCTCTTCCGAGTCGTGTGCCTACACTACAACCATTGATAGCCATATTGTTCCTAGGAATGTGACTGAGGCTCTTAATAACTCGAGATGGTTTAAAGCAATGTAAGAAGAGGTGGATGCCTTTCAGAAGAATCATACTTGGGATTTGGAGCAACTTCCTCATGGCAAGCGAAAAGTGGGTTCTTCATGGGTATTCACCGTGAAACTTCATCCTGGTGGATCACTGCATTGATTGAAAGCTCGATTAGTTGTAACGGGTATTCTCAAGCCTATGGGGTCGACTATGATGAGACATTTTCCTCGATGGCTAAAATGCCGTCTATTTCGCATTGATATAGCTTTGGCAACCACTAATCATTGGTCACTTCATCAGTTGGATGTTAAGAACGCCTTTCTTAATGGCATTCTTGAGGAGGAGGTGTACATGGAACAACCACCCGGGTTTGTTCTTGAGGAGGAGACCACAAAGGTATGCCGATTGCGACGATCATTGTACGGTCTCAAACGGTCGGTTTGGACATTTTTCAAATGTTCTCGGTTCTCCAAAAGTTTGGTATGACTCGTTCCCAAGATTATTCCATGTTCTTTAAACACCATGACGGAAAAATCACACTAGTGGTTTATGTGATGACATTATTGTTACCGGAGATGATAACATCAGAATTTCGAAGTTGAAACAATTCCTACACACTCGGTTTCAAGTTACTGATCTTGGACGGCTTCATTACTTCCTTGGAATAGAAGTATCCCCATCTCCATAGGGGGATTCTTCTGTCTCAACGGAAATATGTTGTTGATATGTCGATGGAGTGTAAATGAGTGGACAGCCCGATGCTTGCTACTGAAAAACTTCTTTCGGATGATGGACATCCTATGAAGGATCCAAAGAGATATAGAAGACTAGTTGGAAAGTTAAACTACTAGACAATTACTTGACCAAACATATCATTCTTGGTTAGTGTCTTGAGCCAACTCATGTTCACTCCTTATACAGGTCATTGGGATGTAGCACTTCATGTTTCGAAGTATCTCAAGGCTAGACCAGGCTTAGGGATACTCTATTCAGATTAGGGTCACTGTCGAGTGGGTACATTCACCGAAGAAGGAGATGGTCGGATCTTCTCAGATGCAAATTGGGCTGGTTGTCTCGTTTCTAGGAAATCGACTCCAAGGTATTGTGTATTCGTTGGAGAAATCTAGTGTCTGGGAAAAACAAGAAACAACTACTGTCTCCCAATCAAGTGTCGAATCAGAGTATAGAGCCATGGTAGATGTGTCATGCGAATGATGTGGGTAAGGAGACTTTTAACAGAGCTTGGAGTAATCACAGACGACTTCAGTCAACTATTCATATAGCCAAGAGTCAACTATTCCATGAGAGGACCAAACATATTGATGTTGATTGTCATCTAATCGGAGACCGTGTTGTGGGAATCCAGACATCCTCACATATAAGGACCCTCCATTGATCCAACCAGTACATATAAGGACCGAGTACCAACTTGCAGTCCTCACAAAGCCATTATGAAAAATCACAAATAGATTTTATTTGTAACAAGTTGAGCATGCTTAACATCTTCGCTCCAACTTGGGGAGTGTTAGATATAGTAAATTAGGGCTTTGCTTTTCTTAGTATGCTTTCACTAATTAGGTTGTATATATTTTGTGTAAAGTTCCCTTCTATTTGAATGAGAAATACGTCACTTTATTTGAGTGATTACAATTCCCAACCGAGATCATCCGAAATCTTAGCACCATGGCCTTTATACAAAATCCATTTTGAGCCTTGATGATTGTATGTCATTAAACCTGTCTATGCATATGGGCTAAATAGATGGAAGCTTTATAATAGTAACCATAACGTGATAAGTCGCAAATGGCAGCCAACCTGCATCTTTTTTTTGTTCCGCCATGTGATGAGGTTACTACCTCTAACCACACATTAACTTTGGTACAACTTTGTGTAGTTGGGCATTCGACCTAATGACAATTTGAGAATCCTCTTACAATACCAGGTCTGTTCTCTGTGAAGAACCTTCATGCTCTGGAATGCTCTTGATATGGTATATAATTCTCTCTCCTTGGTACATCCTTGAGGTATTGGAAGATATGAAAGATATCCAAGCTAATGTGCGTAGCATACACAACTAACTACACAAAGTATTCATGTTAGCATGGATAGATAACTACTTGAACTTCCAACTAGTCTCCTGTACTTTTGTAAATCATTGGGAGGCACTTCCAAAGTTGTTAAAGGCTCAAGGCGCACTTAGGCGCAAAGGGATCCCGGGGCCTAGGTGGAAGGAGCAGGCGTGAGGCGCGGGCTTAAGGAATGCGAGGCGCATCTTATCAATATACACACACACAGAGACTCACACACAGAGTTACACACAACAAGTCTCCAGTTCAGCAACCAATAATGCTTCGATAGAGGCAGAAGGGTTTAAAGCGCGAGCCGTGAAGAAGTTTTAAGGTCTGGGTATTTATAGAGAAGGAGGCTTGAAGTTCTAAGGACTTGGTATTTAGTATTAGGGTTTGACTTGTGTCATCTATTTAGTAACACTTTTTTCAAGAAATCTAGGAGGTGAGAAGATGAGAAAACTTATTTAATCTTAGGGTTTAACTAGGTATCTAATAACTCTTTATGAGGTGCACCTAGGCCCACAAGGCGCCTCAGCTAAGGCGCAGTGCCTTAGTGAGCCTCGTGAATATGCGAAGCATCGACTTGAAAAAAGCCCAAGACCTTGAGCCATAAGCCTCAAAGCCTAGGCGCGCCTATGGGCACTTCACATCTCCATCTTTAGGAAGTAATATGTTAATCTGGATCATAAGCGAATCACTGGTTTGCAGCTCAGTCACCCTCAAGTAAAAGACACAAAACATATATCCTTTAATGGATTACGGTCGTTACTCAAGACTTTGAAGGCCCATTTCCCAGTAAGTGTTCTAGTATGCCAATATCTATAGTGTGAAATTGTTTTGCACAGAATTCAGTGAGTTGACTATGACCTGAGCATCATCTGCATCATTTAAGGAACCGTTGGAATAATTCTTCCTATCACCACCCCGCCATGGCGAGGCCCTAGGAGATTGCTTGAGACATTCTATGTCGAAGAGAATAATCATTGCTTGAGACATTCATTGGAAGTCTGTGTGAATCATCCAATCCAAGCCCTAAGTGAGTACATGAGACCGTATAAAACCATCAAAGGTAACAAATTTTTTGAGTGCCCTCATAAACAATGAGTCCAGGAAGTTGATTCATATAAACCACCTCAATAAAACCATTAAAAAATACTTGATATCCAACTAATGGAACAACTAGAAATGGATAATAGTGAGAAACTGGAAATGAGTATGTGGTGTTAGCAGTACATCTTTAGAGAAATGTGAGTTTCCATGGACTTGAAATGACCCTTTGCCAAATGATGAAGAGAACAAGATGGATGAAGTTTCACTACAAACATGAATTTCCAGCCAAAATTGACTCTAGAAATATTCCCGCATTTTTTATTCTTTTGAAGTTTATATGATGCTTCTTTAGATGTCTGCATGGGTGAATTTGAGAAGTGGTAGCCAAGAGACTGCCCATTTGCAACCCAAAAGCGGTATATGAACAGAAGTTAGTAGCCCAAATCTTTCCCATCTAAGTAGTTATGAAGCTTAGTTAAGGTCTCGAACTCTCGATCCTCTTGTAAACTTACTTTTTTCTTATCTTTTCCATTTTTTCTTGGTATTATTCTTTCTTCTCATTATATTTTTCTACCATTCTGCCTAAATTCATAAATGTCCATTTTATATGCAGGTTGTGGGAGATGGTTTGTTGATGTCAAATTCAAAACGTATTGAGAGAGCCATCCATGAACATGCTTGTAATGCTCTTCTTCTCAAGGTACGTGTCGGTTTATAAATGATCTTCAAGGTTTTCTCAATAATATTCGTTGTACTTGTATGGCAATTGTTTTGGGGTGTGTTTAGTGTCCATACAGGACAGGACAAAACAACCGTTAAGCTTTTTATAAGATCGAATTGGACATAACAAAACAAGTAAAATGACCAATTTACCCTTATGAGTTGTTTATTTTAATTATTTTATGTAATTTATTAAATTATAGTAAAATAATTATTTTTTATAACAAAATATATCATTAGAAAGTTTTCGTCAAAACAATTAAAATGACACCAAATAAAAAGTTTATGTAGTTTCCAATTTTTATTTTTATCTCTTTTCTACATTATTTTTTATTATTAATANAAATTACATAAATTAGTAAAAATATATATACCATATAAAAATAATATTTTGAGGATTTAAACATAAAATACAATAAATAAGATTTAAAGGGTGAATGAATAAAATGTAAAAAGGAGATTTATTTGATGTTTTAGAAGAGAATTAAGTTTTATTTTGAGGTTATATTGGTAAAATATAAGTCTGTTCCACCTTGTTCCATGGGGTAGGGGTGGAACAGGCCTGTTCCACTCTGTTCTTGTCTGTTCCACATAAAATCATGCCAAACGTGGAACAAGGATCACTGTCTTGTCCAGTATACCAAACGCACCCTAAAGGATGAATTATTACTAGATGCATGCCAACTTATTAACATGTGATGCAGGACAAAGTTGGCGAAAGATAGACGAATAAGAAAAACAATAAAGGATCCAAGTTTCTAGTGCTTCACACTAAAAAATCACTAGGATCATTAGAGCTTTGCACCCAAGATAATAATCAAACGGATCTCACCTAAGGGCGTTTGTTTCACAATCAAAGAAAAAACAGTTCTTTTTTTATATTCAACCATCTAATAATAATTCTTGAGAAGTACATCTCTTATGTGTAGTAATATTAACAATAAAGATACATATCTGTACTAATAATTCTTGAGGATTGAAGCTTCAAATTATCCCCTTCATTTGCTTGACTCAAGTCTCTTGTAGTATTGCCGTGCGTCTCGATGGGGGTCGTAATATCACATGTTAATATTGAGACATACCGGTGTTGTGACGTGTAGGTGAACCAAATTGGGACTGTGACAGAAGCCATTGAAGTAGTGAAGATGGCAAAAGATGCTCAATGGGGGGTCGTAATATCACAAAGAAGTGGGGAAACCGATGATTCTTTCATAGCTGATCTGTCGGTTGGTCTTGCCACTGGTCAGATAAAAGCAGGTGCGCCTTGCCGAGGAGAACGCTTAGCCAAGTATAATCAGGTATGTTTTATTTCTTATAGATCCATAAATTCCCGCGTTGAGAATTTAGCCCATCTCCAGCTTCATTTAATTCATATCAGCAAATGGATAACTAAACAATTTCGCTCATACTCCTTCCGTCCCAAAATTAGTTGCAATATTCCCTTTTTGGAAATTCCATCTATAATCATCTCCTTTTCCCATCAACACTCGGTTGCAAAATATTTGATAACTTTGATTTTGATTCATCGTATTCTGTCTTACTCAAATATTGCATCTATTTTGGAACCAACAGAGTATGTACAAGTTAAAGTCCAATTAATCTGTTAGTAGATGACCGACATCAGTTTTGGAGATTCAACTAATACTCCTCGGTTGAAAAAAACAATGTAACATCAACTTGACATATATTAATGCAAGTGTTTCATTAAAATCAAATACCCAATATGCCTCTGAATAGCACAAAATTGAGAAAAAGGACTTGGAATCAATTTCACAAATCTCATGTCATAATTGCTAACAGTGTGTTAATTGTCATTGCTCTGTTTCCCATGTCTTGTATTTTTCAAGCTTAGCAAAACCAAGGGTCACTTAGGAGAATAACCTTGTTGGCATTTTTGTGTTCATTCTTCCCTTAAATCTGTCAGAAAGTCGTGCATCTAAAAGAATATATATATATAGACGTGGGATCACGTGAGACCAGCCTGTTTTCGTGAGACCACTTTTTTACACTTGAAACTTCAAATCAAAACGCTGTGGAGGCAACTGCAAAAACACTGTGAAGATTGCCTTCACAGCGTTTTGATGTGAAGTTTCAAGTGTAAAAAAGTGGTCTCACGAAAACAAGCTGGTCTCACGTGAACCCAACTCTATATATACATATATATGTTAGGAGGGTGTATTCCTAATTACACCAATTTCAAACAACCATAAATGAGAAATGCATTCATGTACCATTTTTGAGCATATACTGACTGCTAATGTTGTTATGCAGTTGATCAGAATCGAAGAGGAGCTTGGCGATCAAGCGACTTATGTTGGTGATGACTGGAGGCAGTCGTAATCTCTTTCCTTTTTTGGAAAAGAATGACAGAAAGAACCTTCTGAGGGTATTATTATTTACCCATTTTTATTAGAAACATTCAAGGGTTTTGCATGGGTGAAAATATGGCGGATGTGTACTAAATATAAGATGAGAACGAATGTTTAAAAACCAACGTTATAATTTCTGGCATATCTTACAATAATTCATAAGCTCCGTTACGGTCTTGTGCTTGAGATCGATAAACTTGTTTATTGGCTGGATAATTTTACTCAGGCCAATGACCCTTTTGGTTGGATATTTGTTGTTTTGCTCTCAGTTCAATTTTTGGTAAATTCTCTGTGGGCATACATCAAGATTCAGAGGCTAGAAAGCGTAATTTCTTCTTTTCCTTGTTAATTCCATTAATTTGGTTAATTGAATAACAATGATTAGACTTTAAATATATACAAAAAGAGGAGCGATCAAATACAAACCATTCAATCCAATTTGTGCAAATCGTACAAACTATTTTCATCCGTCGATTTCATTGTTTAATCTTGTGAAATTGTTTTATATAATACTTTTTTTTGATGAAGTTATTTTATATATGGTTATGAAATTGTTCCATATAATACTTAATGAAATTTTAATGAAACTGTTTCATGTGTTTATCTAAAATTAAAATAATGAAGATGATAATATCCATGATCAACGTCTTTCACAATAAAAATGTAATTATCAACTTCTCATAATTACAAAAAAATGAACAAAATGAAAAATTATGATTGGTTGAATAAAGTTTGTATGGTTTATATAAATAGTGTGGTTTGCATAAGTAAACCTCCTCTTTATATAAAATGCAATCTAAAAATATTGAAATTGTTCGCTTCATATTTAACATTCAACCAGTGTTTTTTAAGGGGGTGTTTGGGTAAGCTTATTTAAAACAACTTATGTTTTTTTGTAAAAGTGCTTATTAACTTATGCGGTATCAAACTGGAGTTTTGTAAAAAGTGTTTGGATTAGCTTATAGCGGTACCAAACTGCAATAAGCTGATAAGTTGTTTTTT